TGTTTAAATTGCATACCATTCCAGTCAAGCATCTCAGTGATTTTTTTTTGTTGACACAAGTCTTATTTTTCAATTTTGGCTCAGGTATTTCATGGTTTATTGCTTTTCAACACTTATTTTCAGTACTGATATAGATCATAGCCCAGTAAACCACCTCATATCTAATCTTTTCTATCACTATCATGTGTCTTAAGATGAGGAAGGGTGTCAATATGCATTTGTGGAAAACATTTTTTTCAAGTGTCTTAGTTACATTTTTGTTATTTTCAAGGGTAATGTAATATGGACATCAGAATTAGTTGTTAATTTTTCAGATGTATTGTATGTCTTGATTAAGTCTTGGCTACATGTCAAACATCAAAGAAACGGTTGCAACAGACATTGCTAATTAGTATGGGGACGCAAGTATCCAAGGTCTTTTATGGAGAGATTTCTAGATATATATATATATTTTTTATCTTGCCAGTGTCTGATTTGTGAATACATGAATTGTGAATTGTGTGTTGCGTCTGTTTGAATTGTGTTCGTCTGAATTGTGTATTATTATTTGAGGGTTCTATTGGATCCCTTATGGACCATTTCTCTTCATTCCATTGTGATGGATATTCATTCTATAACATAAATATTTTCTTGGAACTGTTGTATATCCTTCTCTCTCTGATATATTCAAGTGAATGCTCAATTTGTTTATGTTAAATGGTTATCCCATTCCTATGTCAAATAATTGATTGTATTTCATACATATGGTCACATATGGTGTTGGATGAGTGACATTTTGGTTTTATTGTTTTTTGTTTTATGCCATATGTAACTAGTTGGAATTTGAGAAGGTGTTACAAGTTTAAATGTTTGAAGTTGTTGGAAATTGGTATTTAGATGGAAAATGTTGTTGAGGTTGATGCACATAAGGATGACGATGTTGCTGAGGTTGGGGCTAAAAAAGCTGACGGGCCATGGACGTCTAAAAATGAGGCCATTTTTATTAAATTAATGGATTTGGAAGTACCAGGTCGACCTAAAGACACATCTACGTTTAAGAAGGATGCTTGGAACAGAATCATAGTGCAACTGAGAGCAAAGACGGGGTATAATTACAACTATGAGCAGCTACGAAACAAATACAATACCTTGAGAACAACGTACAATGCATTTAAGAAGTTATTGAATGAAACTAGAGTAGGTTGGAACCCAAAGAGACCGACAATTACTTTAGCAGATGACGTCTGGAAGAATTTATGCAAGGTAGCTAATTCTTCTTAAAACTTTTAATCATTATTATGTCTATTTTTGACAAGGGTTTAATATTTATTAGTTTTCATTTTTGTTAGGTGAATAAGCATGCTAGACAATTCAAGAAAAAGGGTTGCCCTCATTATGACAAGCTTGGTAGAATATATGGTAAGACAAGCGCAACTGGTGAACATACTCATGTCTCAACCCAACTTCCATCTAACAGCGAGGAAGAGAAAGACCCAACATTTGATCCTACAAATGAGCTTGATAAAGTCAATGACAACGAAAATAATAAAGGCCCAAGCAACCGTTCTCGTAGTAGGTCTATCACTCCAACCTGCAGTCGACGTAGGAAGAAGGATGATGTCATGGTTGCTCTTACATCTGCCCTTAATGTGTTGGTGGAAACTTCAAAGAAAAAAAATGAGTATTTGGAGTACAAGATGTCTGGCGCTATGGTGGCGACATCTTCGTATGGGGATAGTGAGGTTACTAACCATAAGGATGATTTGATAAATGAGTGTGTGGCTGCTTTGAATGCTCTAGAGGACATTGATGCATATGGCTATTCAAAAGCCATAACAAAATTTAGCGAGGGTATGATTTGGAGGAAGCTGTTCATGGCTATGCCGGATCATAGGAAGAAGGATTGGATTACGTGCTTGTGACTTTTATGCTTGCGCTTTACGTATTAGGATATGTATTTATATTTAACTTGGTACTTTGGGATGTATGTTTCTTTATGACTGTGTTGAATGTTCACTTATGTTTGTTTATCGGTTGCATGTGTTATGTTTGGTATTTGTATACTTTATATGTGTTATGGATTCAGATGAAGCCTTGGATGTGATATTTATTGTCATGACTGCAAAAATCAAGACCACATTCATGTAGAACATTTCAACTTAAGGGGCATGATTATGTATCGAATTGGGATTTTAGTGAAGTGATTATGTGCAGTCTAGTATTTGGTAGATTATTAACAATGGGTTGATGTATTGATACTTTGAATGTTTAATTTCTATTATTTTGAGTTGATGTATTGTGCATTATTTTATAGGTTGATGGACGTATTATTAATATAAATAACGTGGATATGTTTTAGAAGGAATTATTAAAATATATGACAGAAAATAAAATAATTATTAAATATGTTTTCTGTTTTAGTTTTTAGCTTTTCTAAACTAACAATTACAACTAAACACGTTTTTTGTTTCAATTTGAAACTTTCTAGAAGCATTCCTTTGTTGACTACAAGCATATGCATGGCATTTACATATGTGTTCATGCCATTATATTAGAGAGGCTCATTTCTTCAGGACATTGAATACTCATTTCATCTTTTTAGTTGGAACTTGAATTACGAGAGTGAACTTAATGTCAATTGTGCATAAGGGTTGGATTCCTCTACAGTTACTTAACTAATTGTTATTAAGTAAATTTGGAATGTATATAATTACTTATAACTTATGTACATTAGGTCGACATGTTCTTCTTTTGCAATGTTTAAACTTTAGGCAACAAGGTATTAATCATTAATACACTATCATCTGAACAATTAAAATGAAATTTCATACAGTATCTTTGAAAAACAATGATGTGGCCCAATTATTATTTTTTATTTGAAAACAAAGAACAATTGATATGATTAAAATCTATGACAGAAAACATCACCACCACGTTATCAGACTTGATGAGGGTCACAATTACAACCAAAATAGGAAGAAATTGATTGAATTAATATTATCTCGTTTAAGTAAACATGACCCTTATGAACCCTAAAATATGCCTCTTGGTAGTAGAGGTGAAGAGAGCTTTATGTCACATTTCGGAGCAATTAATCCTGCTAAAGTCAATACATTACCTAAATGAAATGTTTCTTGCCACGTTCAATTACTTAGATCTTTTCCTCCTCCTAGTAAAAAAGTTTACTTCATCTATTCACCAACAATACTATACTGTAAGCATGCCATAGGCCTACTTAGATCTAGATAAGCCTACTTAATCCTTTTCCATATTTGCAGTGGACATTGTTTTAAGGATTTGACATAGTACCAAAAAGGTACTGCATCAAAATTTATAATTTTTTTGAGCTAAGATACACATTTTTTAGGTTTAATAACAACAGAAAATAGAGGTCGTGACAACGAAAGTTTGGGCTGTTTAGCCAATTTCTATCGTGACAAAAAGCTGTGACACCAGGTCTGCACATTGTTTTTGGGTTTTTTTTTTTGGGTTGTCGAGTGGCAGTCGATAAGTTGAGGGATGGTAATTTTCAACGTCGATAAGCATGAGCCAGAAACTCAGTGTTGGGTGGACGCTTTAAGAATAAATTTTAATTAATTTTTTTAACAAATAAAAATATAAAATTCAATTATATTTATTTATGTAGAGGCAAATCTTAAAAGAATAAAAACAAATAATAACTAATTCCAAGCAATCTTATGCTTACTTTCAGAATACAAATTGAAAAAAATTATGGAGAATTACACTTAAACCCTTAAAGGTTTATCATTTAATCACTCAAGTTTCTTGGCATTTGAAATATTATATACAGACTCCCCAAAGTTTGTACGCGCGTAAAACTTAAATCTCTGATGTCAATGTTATGTATATCCGTTAGTAAATTATATCTAAACCACCTAAAATTTATAGGCATGTAATATTTAGACCCTTTAAATTTAAAATATTATATTTAGATTTAAAATACTCTAATCAAAGATAGAATATCAAATAATTTAAATTTTACAATAAAAATTAATGTTCTATTATGTCATTTATTGAAATAAAATCAAAAATAAAAATTTAATTTTTTCTCAAAAAATCATAATTATTATACAATTATATTATTTATTGAAATTTAATTTAATAGTTTAAACTACCAAATTACCCCAGTTAAAGATAGAATATATTGTGTTCATTACAACTTGACCCATTGTTTGATTTTTTTAGTTTTATTCCAATAAATGGTATAATTGTATACTAATTATGATTTTTTAAGAAAAAATTAGATTTTTATTTTTGATTTTATTTTAATAAATGTTATAATAAAACATAAATTTTGGTTGTAAAATTCATATTCTATTATAAATGACTTAGACTCTTTGTTTGATTTTTTAATTTTATTCCAATAGATAATGTAATTGTATACTAATTACGATTTTTTAATCTAACTTTTATTTTTATTTGAATAAATGATAAAGTCGAGCATGAATTTTGCTTGTAAAATTTAAAATATTTGATATTTTACTTTTGATTAAAGTATTTTTGTTTGAATATAATATTTTAAACTTGATGGTCTAAGTATTATACGCTTACTAACTTTAGGGAATTTGAGTGTAATTTACTAACGGATATACCGATAAATATTAGAGGCAAGAAGTTTGCATATAATATTTTAAATATTAAGGGGTCTAACTATAATTCTCCCTTTTTCTTTCATGGGGCGGCTTGACATTCTTTTTAATTTTAAAATGATTAAAAAACACTCAATTTTTTGTCATCTTACTTTTCTGTTAACCATGGCCACAAAATTTTGAACTGGTGAATATAATATAAATTTAACATGCCTATAATCATATTTACCCTACATAATTTTCATTCTCACATTTCTTTGCATTTGAGAAAATGGTACAACACTAATATGCCATGAATTTCAAAATGATTATTATTATGGAATCCCAAACATAATAATTATTACGAATATACTTTCAACCTTAAAATGAAAATTATTTCATTTTTAATGTTTTCAATTCTCATAAATGTCACTCAATTTTAAATTTATCAATTTCGATCGATAATTGATCACTCGCGGTTAAAATTATCACGTAACAACAACTTCACCGAACCAACTATGGGTTTTGATATATCCCATTGTGTTACAATGAGACTCGCTAAGTCTATTTTTCGATGATTAAACTTGAAAGAAATTAAAATTCAAAACATACACAAGTCCTATAAAAGCACTGTTCTACGTCAACGCCTTCGGTCATTGACCCTCTTGTTTCTCTCGTTCCGCCGCCGATGAGTAAAGATAGCTCGGCAACGGACTAGCTCTGGGAGACTTCATGGGAAGCTCGTTCAACTTCTTCCCGTTGCAATCATAATAAATCGCGCCGGGGAAATCCAACGGCTGACACTTATCGCCCATCAAGATATTCCTCTGCCACAACCCTCCGTCTCCGAAACCTCCACTGCCGACGACGAATTCCTCGTCGTTGACGACCTTCTTATGCCTGCCGGAGTTCGTCTCCTTGCTGCTTATTGCCGCGAAAAGCTTCTTCGAGCCCTTCGGCTTCGCCGCCGGCGAGTTGTTTGAATCAGTCATCGTCATCCTTCTCTTGGCTCGTTTTGTGCATACAGCCCAAAGAAAGGCCACGGAGCCTAGTAAGCTAACGGTTAGACGTTTTGGTGAGCCGCCGCCGCCGGTGGTGGTGGTGGCAGTAGCGGGAGTTGTACGGACCATTTTGGGTGGTGGTGATTGCCGGGGAGAAGTAAGCAGAGTGGGTATATATAGGTGAGGGCGGGGTGTAAGTGACCGGTTATAGCCGGTAGGTTTTGATTTTGAAATTCTTCTTAGTATTTTTTTTTGTTTGTTTTGTTTTCTTCTAATTTTGTGGAGTTTTGAAATTCAAATTGAGAGGGGAGATGATAATGGCGACACTCAAACGGTAAAGGTTTTGTTTGGTTACTTCTTTTAATTTGGGAAAGTGAATGACCACAATTTGATCTTCCTTAAATACCTTAATGGTCTAGAGCAAGCACAAAATTTGTCATTGAGGCCGCAATTGGCTAATGGTCATCGCCCCCCCCCCCNTAACTAGATGAATTTGAATGTTAATTTGTTGAATTAAATGTTACTTTTTTGTTATTTTGATGAGCTAAATGATAATTTGTTATTAATTTGATGTAATTGTTTATTTGAATAGTAGAATAAAATATTTTTGCGCAGAAACAGGACGGAGAGATATGGGTATTCTGTCAAAAGTTGATTAGTCTAGACTCATACTGTTTATTGATATATTATGGGCTGATATTGGATTGGATCAAATAATCAAACTGGTTAGATAGGATCCACCATGACGTCCTAATTTGTTAAATCGGGATCGACCATGATAAACCATGACGAAACTCAACAAAATCATACTTAGAGGATAAAAGTGTAATGAACCCATTTGTTAAATTAGGATCGGACATGGATATTTATGGTCAGTCTTAATATCTTGGGATGAAACTCACAAAAATCACACTTAGAGAATAAAAATTTAATTTACCCTTTTGTTAAATTAGGATTTATCGCGCATATTTATGGTCAGTTCTAAAATCTGGGACGAAACTCACAAAAATCATATTTAGAGGATAAAAGTGTAATTAACCATTATTAAATTACAATATTTATGGTCAGTCTTAAATTTTTTGGTTTTTTTTACTAAAACTCAATTAATAAGTTAGTAGATAAAAGTTTTATTTACCCATTTGTTAAATTAGGAGCTATGACCTGTCCTAATTTGTTCTGTTACAATATTGAATTTTCTGTTTCAGTAAAAATGATTAAGGACTATTAGGATTAAAATTTCGGGGATAAAATGATAAAGTTCAATATTTTTTAGATGAAACTGATAAAATTGATACTTAGAAGATAAATGTGTTATTAACATATTGTTAAAATAGGATCAGTCGTGCACTACTTTTGGTCGATCGTAATTGAATGTTACAATTTTTTTCGTTAGTTACAACCTTTTTTTGTTGTGTTACAACCATTTGGGTAGGTTACAACTTATTTTGGTATGTTACAACTTTTGGGGTAGAGGATTCCAAAAGTTTATGTTCCAACTTTTTGGGTGCGTTCTAATTTTTTTGGGTGAGTTTCAACTTTTGTGTGGGTTAAAACCTTTGTGGGTGGATTACAACTTGGATGGACTGGGTTTTAATTGGGGTTAACACTTTTTTAGATTGGGTTACAAACTTTTGGGGATTNTTGGGTGAGTTTCAACTTTTGTGTGGGTTAAAACCTTTGTGGGTGGATTACAACTTGGATGGATTGGGTTTTAATTGGGGTTAACACTTTTTTAGATTGGGTTACAAACTTTTGGGGATTGGGTTCCAATCTTTTGGGATGGAGTTATTACTTTTATTTGGCGGGGCTTATAACCTTTCGGATGGGATCCCAACTTTTTGGGGTGGGGTTCTAATTTTTATGGATTGGGTTTCAACTTTTGAAGTGAGGTTCCAACTTTTCTTGATGGGGTTCCACATTTTGGAGTGGGGTTCCAAGTTTTGGGGTAGGGTTCCAATTTTTGGGTTCTGGCTTGGGTTACAAATTTTTTGANGTTCCAAGTTTTGGGGTAGGGTTCCAATTTTTGGGTTCTGGCTTGGGTTACAATTTTTTTGAGATTGGGTGGTGGAGTTTTTACTTTTTTGGTAAGGATAATACTTTTTTGGGTGAAGCTACAACTTTTTTAGTAGCGGTTACAACCTTTGGGGGTTGCGTTATAAGTTTTCTGGATTGGGTAATAACCTTTTGGGTGATGTTACAATTTTTGTAGATTGAGTTACGACCTTGTGGGGTGAGTTATTACTTTTGGGGTTGTGTTACAACTTTAGGGATAAATTACAATTTTGAGGGTGAGTTTACCACATTCTTGGGTTACGTAACCCCCTTTTCAGTATGCGATTATTTGATTTTGTAGTCAAACTCAACTTCATTTTGATTACTTCTTCAGTAGGTAACCGATATCTAACATTGTGAATTGATCACCGGTCAAAAACCACAAATATTAAATCAATGGTGTCAATTATTTTGGCGGTACATTACTGAAAATAATATTTTGGTATTGTAGAAGGACCTTTGGTAAAACCCATTTAGAACAGGTATGTTCTTAATAAACTGAATACGAAGTCGATTAGGACTAGAAATCCTAAAACCACTTCATATGTGTACATAGTCAACCACTATTCTTATGTTTTTCCTTTACGTTATTCATATGCATACATAGTCCTCTCTTTCATTAGGTTTAATAAAATTAACCATTCCCTAAGTTGGAGCCTATATAATATTAAAAGTGTATGTTCTCAACTTTTTTAATTACATATATCTTNGTTTAATAAAATTAACCATTCCCTAAGTTGGAGCCTATATAATATTAAAAGTGTATGTTCTCAACTTTTTTAATTACATATATCTTCTATTATTCTTATACTTATTTATTTTGTATTGGGGGCGGGTATAGTATACTACAAATGATAATTTTGTAATTATATTGTATGAGATTCGTGTGTTTTTTGTTTCTTATTTAGATTTTGTTGCCGTGAACTTTTCATCCAAAGTATGACTTGTTAGGAAAGTCAAAAATTTATAATGTTATGCTCCATTCTATATCAAATTTTTAGGTTTTGTAGCATCTATGTGTATGACACTTGTGTGTGTGTGCACGTTTGTCTATAATATATATATCCACATATATATGTCGAACTAGAATTCACACCATCCTAATCCTCCACATTAGTCGTAGTAGAGGTATCAGAATCTACTTCCAGGTCCCATGCTGGTACCTCTGGTTCCACCTCCAGCCATTTGTTCTGATTATTTGGAACCTGTGGTATCCTTCCATTTTCTTCCAAGTTTCTAGCCCTTTAAACTATTTCAAGCTGTGCATCCAGCCTATTTTGCACAAGAGCTCACTACTATTCAGATCCAAGTTCCCTCCAATTACGGGCCACCTGACACATCTCCTCTATAGCTAATGTAANAAAAATAAAACAACAATCAAATACAACCTTAGTTTTCAACTATGGTGGAGGAGTATAAATGCAAAGTAAAGATTTTTTTGCAATAAGAAGATCAATCCTTGATAAATTAAATTTTTTGTAATATATTTTTGTTTAATTTCTTTAAACGGTAGATCATCTACCATACATTATTAAAAATCTTACGTATATATAATGAAGTTCTACATGAATTTCCAAACCCCCTCATGGGCCAGGGTTCTCCTTTGGCCTTTGAGAATTTCTTGAAGGACTCACTCTAATTCAGGTCAAAGTCCTACAACAAAAAACAAAAAAAAAAAACATGCATTTGGTATTTTTACCAAAAGCTCAATTTCGAGTAAGGATAGTTGGTAATCGAAAAAAACTCATGTTTATTTAATTTTATGGGTTAATTACATTGGAGGTCTTTAAAGTATGAAGTTTATTTTATTTTGTTCTTTAATGTTTCAATTGCATCATTTTGGTTCTTGAAATATTGAATATGTTTTTATATAATCCTTCGAGCAAACAACGTCCAAATTACTAATAATTTTTTATGATAAACTTGTCACGTAATACCTAAATATGAACAAAAAATAATTTTGATAGCTCTTAAACTAAAATTTGGATAGCTCTTAACAAAAATTTGAATAAATCAAGGTCAAAACTGTGTAATTTAGAAAGTTATTTAACTAAAATTTGAGTATAAATTTGGTTAAGAGTTTATAAAAATTATTTTTTTGTCTATATTTAAGTATCACATGATAAATTTATAATAAAAAATTGTTAACAATTTGATCGTTATCTGTATGAGGGGTCATATAGAAACATATTCAAAATTTAAGGGACCAAAATGATATAATTAAAATATTGGAGACAAAAATGAGACAAATTCTATACTTTTAGAACCTCCAGTACAATAACCCTAATCATTATTAATAGAATAATAGAAATATTCTAGATTATGCGAGCAATTAGCCCTTCTATGAGGACAAATCTTTACCCCCAAAAACTATGAATAAATATTCATTAAAACAGTGATTAAACATGTCTTCGTTAACATTGGGCACCCCTCAAAAGAGAAAAACTAGTGAGCTCAGAGGTTGAGTGAGGGTTAAAATTTCGTTGCAGTGTATAACTTACATCATCTCGAAAACAAATCCTTCAAAAATAAAATACAAGCTTTGAATTTCGATTTCAAAACATTGTATGAATATATCGAATATGATATAAAGATTCTGTAAGTATAAGAATTTTAATATTCAATCACTTATTCATATTATTCGTTTGAGGTGATTACGGAATTGAAACCGCAGATCAAATGACTTCCATGTGTGGAGCATTTTTAGTGGAGGACTGCATTTAGCATCCACTTAATATGGTGGCGGGTCCATTTCAAAAAAAAATAAAAATAAAAATAAAATGGAGGCGGCTCTAAAACTATTAGACTCAAACCTCTTGGTATAAAAGGGTTGATTTGACGAGGTCTTTCACATTCTTTAATGGTGGGTGCCTCATAGACTAATTTCAAGTTGTAATATTTTCAATTTCTTACATCTCTTGGACCCACAAAAAATGAAAGCATCTCGACAAAACATTTATTATAATAATCACACTGCATCATCATTCGACAGAAAAACAAGAAGTGAGCAAGTGGGAATCTTACATAATTTAATAACTATTTCTCTATGTAAATTAATAAGCAACCCATGTAAAGTAGTTGAATTTACTTTACACATTTAGTTGTGTTTTATT